GTCCTCCCGGGAGGCCGCCGAAAGGGGCCGGCGTGCCTCGGTTTCCCCAGCTGTCAAACGGCGGGGGGCCCGCCCCTGGCCGCACGCACCTTCCTCCCCGTAGCGGTCGAAGATCTCGCGCTTGCGCGGGTCGCTGAGCACGTCGTAGGCCTCGGCGATCTCCTTGAACTTCTCCTCGGCCCCGGGCTCCTTGTTCTTGTCCGGGTGGTAGCGCAGCGCCTGGCGGCGGTAGGCCCGCTTGATCTCCTCGTCCGACGCGCCGCGGGCCAGGCCCAGCGTCTGGTAGTAGTCCTTGCCCATGGCCCCCGCCTGCGGCCCGCCGCCCAGCTGCCGCCGTCCCCCGGCTCCGCGGCCGCCCGGTCCCGGACTCTATATACCCGTCCGGCGGAAGCTTCCAGAGCCCGCCAGCCCCCTCCAGAACCTTCCGCCCCGCCCCCTGCGCTGCGCCGGCCAATCGCCGTCGCCCAGTCCTCGACGCGCGACATCCGGGGCGGGGCTTTGCCGCCAACGGCCGCCCGCGCGGGGCTACGCCTCTTCCCGCTCTCGCCTCGGCAACGCCTTCCCACGGCGCGCGCAAAGACCGGAGGAGGCCCCGCCCACCCTTCGGGCTGCCGCGCGCCCCGCCTCCGGCCTGGGTCAATGAGTCCTGAACCTCGGCGAACGCTGCTTTGGGAAGGGGCGGGGCTTGTGGCGGCCCCGCCCCTCACGGTTGCTCCGCCCCCTTCCCCGGCAGAAGGCAAACCTGCTGGTCCCTAACTCACAGGGCCCGGGTGTGGCGTCCCGCTACTCTGGGCAAGCTGCGTAATCTGTGTCTGCCTAACCCGGATGCCCCTTCTATACTATGGAAAAGTATCCATCAGCCCTACTCTCTCGGCTGTGGGGAGAATGCCACTGGGACAGCGACTGCTTCTCGCTGTGCTCACCGTAAGAGGTCCCTATAAAGCGAGTTGAGGATTTGGAACCAAAGCTCACCTCTCCGAGAGGTCTTCCCAGTCCCGCTTTCCCATTTTCTCAACAGCACTTGACATTCAATCTGGAATGATATTGTTCCCTGGCTTTCATGCTAGATGTCACTTCCCTCCCAATCTGGGATCGTTACCTGGGCGGAGGCTAGGTCTGTCTGTCCTGGGTCTCCAATATCTGGCACGCAGTTGCGATGGACGCTTCATAAATATTCCCGGTTGCTCCTACGCACGCACGCGCTTCCGATTATCTCCCCACTACCTTTAGGATTTGGGGGCTGATAGGGGTGTGTCACATACCTCCCAAGGTTTCTGTGTCCTCATCCACAGGCCACAAGATCGCATTTGGCTCTGAAAAGCTGGGGAGGCTGTGGTCAAGGACAAAGCTGTTGGGAAAAGGAAGCTCAGAAAGAGGTTCCACTTGAGAAAGGCCCAGGGTAGGGAGGAGGTTCCTGGAAAAACTGCCTAGGGAACAGGGCCCTGTAACACAGGCTCTGGAGCCAGACAGCTGGGTTTCATTCCCGGCTCCAGCATTTACTGGTTGTGAGACCTTGGGTTTGGTAACTTGGCCGTCCAGAGCCTCAGCTTCCTCATGTGTACAATGGTGATAGCAGTTGTACCCGCTTCATAAGAGCTTAGAAGTTTACATGAGTCAACAGTTGTGAAATTCCTAGGACAGGCCTGGCACAAAGGGAGCGTTGACAGAGTGACTACCATTTTTGGTTAGTAGTTAGTGGTGGGCAGCTCAACCACCACCCCCTTCCTGGCTGCACCCCAGCTAAAAGCTTCCAGTGACTGCTATCCGTGGGCAGGAGGGGACTCCTGAGAAAGAAGACCATGACCCCATCCCCATCCAGCAGGGGGATTCTGGCTCTCTCTGACCACTGACTGACCCCAAGCTAACTGCATCAGCAAGGACTCTGGATTAGGAGACACGCTGGCTGACCTGGGAGGATAGGGCTAGGTCTGGGAACCCATAGCAGAGGTCCTGAACCAATCATGGGGGGAGAGAACTTCACACACACACACACACACACACACACACACACACACACACACTTATTTGGCAAGCCCTTAAAACTCAAGAGAACTTGATATTTTAAGTTACATAAATATGCTTGTTGTAGTGGCTCATGCTTTGAGAGGCCAAGGCTGGAGGATTGCTGAGGCCTGCCTGGACAACATAACAAGACTGTGTCTTTATAAAAACTTTAAAAAAATAACCCAGGCATGGTGGTGTGGGCCTGTAGTCCCTGCTACAAGGGAAGCAGACACAGGAGGATCGCTTGAGCACAGGAGTTTGAGGTTACAGTGAGCTATGATCATGACCCTGCACTCCAGCCTAGGCTTACACAGCAAGACCACGTCTCTCTCTAAAAAAAAAAAAAAGTCAGGCTCGGTGGTCAGCCTGTAATCCCAGCACTTTGGGAGGCTGAGGTGAGTGGATTGCCTGAGACTGCGAGTTTGAGACCAGCCCGGGCAACTTGGTGAGACCTCGTCTCTACAGTAAATCAAAAAATTAACCCGATGTGGTGGCACGCACCTGTAGTTCTGGCTACTTGGAAGGCTGAAGCAGAAGGATCATCTGAGTCCAGCAGGTCGATGCTGGGGTGGCCATGAGTGTGCCACTGCCCTCCAGCCTGGGTGACAGAATGAGACTCTAACTAAAAAAAAAAAATACAGTCAGTAATTCAGAGGAGAGTTATCATTATGGGGAAAATCCCACAGCATGTGGACTTCATAGTCATAATATACATTTAATTTAGAATTACAAATGCAGCAGCCTCTAAAGGCCTTAACTTGGCTCTGGGGGGGCCTTTACCAGTTGTTCTAATGTTTCTTGCCACACTGGAGAGCAATATCTTGCCAAAAACATTGGGTAAAGGATGTCTTTGTGTTTAGGAGCAACCTTAGGACTGGGAACTACTCCCTCCTTGATTCACCTAGGTCATATTCAGGAAGTTGTAATTGTTTAAAAACAAAACAAACCTAACAACTCCCCTATGGATATAGTACTTTTACCTGGATACTCACTAGGCACTTCAGAATATTACTGAAAAAGTAGCCTCTGCAAAAACCTCGGCAGACGGTGAGTTCTCCAATCAGAGAAGCTATGAGGGTCAGTTTTTTGTATCAGCTTGGCTATGATCTAGAACCTAGTTTTTCAATGAAACTCTAATCTAGGTGTTGCTGTGAAGGTATTTTGTAGATGTGGTTAGGTTAACATCTATAATCACTTGACTTAAGTACAGGACATGACCCTTGATGATAGGAGTGGGCCTCATCCAGTCAGTCAAGAGGCTTTAAAAACAAACACTGAAAAGCCTTAAAAGCAAACATGAAGGGGGTGGGGGGTGGAGATGGCTGGGGAAGCAGGGAGCTAGGGTGGGGGTGCTCAGAAGATAGGAAAAAAGCAAATAGTAGGTCGGCCATGGTGGTTCATGACTATAATCCCAGCACTTTGGGAGGCCAAGTTGGGAGGATTGTTTGAACCCAGGAGTTTGAGACCAGCCTGGACAATATAGTGAGACTTCCTCTCTAAATATATATATAAATGTGTGTATATATATATATATATGTGTGTGTGTATGTATATATATATTTATATATATATAAAATAAAGCAGACACTGAGGCTTCCTTCAGCTCCTGCCTAAGAGTTTTTCAGAGTTGTCTAGCTAGCCCCCGCAATCATGTAAGCCAATTTCTTGAAATAAATCTTCACATAGACACACACCCACCCTGCTGGTCCTGTTTCACTGGTAAAATCCTAATTGATGGAGGAACTACGTGAGTCTGGGGCCAACTGCTTTCGTTTGAATCCTGGACCCGCCTTTTACTTATTTTCTCCTGGACCCGCCTTTTACTTATTTTCTGCTTGTGTGATTTTGTACAACTTGCCTAATCTCTTGGAGTGTTAGGTCTATCCTCCATGAAATGGGGATAAGAGTAGATTTTATCTCCTGGTGTGGATGAAATTGAGAGGGGCCAGGAAATGAACATTTTAATAACATCCAACACTGACATGGCCAAACCTGTTCCAAGTGCTTGATGAATATTAACTCATATAATCGTCACAACCACCCTATAAGGCTGGACTATCATTACCCCATTTTACGGGGGGGGGTGTGTGGGGGCATGGTACTGAGGCTCTGAGAGGTCATGTGATTTTCCCAAGGTCACCCAGTGAGTAAAATGTTAAAGTGTTAAGCACACTGAGTGCTTATGGTGAGGTCTCAGCTTCTATACGATGTGACTCAGATGACCCTAAAGTTTTTTTTTTTTTAAGTTGGGATCTCACTCTGCCACTCAGGCTGGAGTGCAGTAGCATGAATATGACTCACTGTAGGCACAACCTCCTCGGCTCATGTGATCCTCCTGACTCAGCTTCCCAAGTAGCTGAGACTACAGGTGGGTGCCACCATATCCAACTAATTTTTTGATTTTTTTGTAGAGATGAGGTCTTGCTATGTTGCCCAGGCTGGTCTCGAACTCCTGGGCTCAAGCAATCCTCCTGCCTTGGTCTCCCAAAGTGCTGGGATTACAAGCATGAGCCATAGTGCCTGACCTGATCCTAAAATCTTAATTAAAAAATATTACATTATCACTCTCTTCAACTCTTTACCTGTTCATCAGAAAGACATTCAAGCTGGGCGTGGTGGTTCACACCTGTCATCCCAGCACTTTGGGAGGCAGAGGCGAGAGGATTTCCCGAGCCCAGGGGTTTGAGATCTGCCTGAGCAACTCAGCGAGACTTCGTCTCTACAATAAATAAAAAATTTAGCCAGGCGTGATAGTGCATGCCTGTAGTTCCAGCTAGCTTGGAAGGCTGAGGCAGAAGGATCACCTAAGGCCAGCAGGTCAAGGCTGTGCTGACCGTGAGCACGCATGCCACTGCACTCCAGCCTGGGAGACAGGGTGAGACTCCAACTCAAAAAAAAAAAAAGAGAGAGAGAAAAGAGAAAGAAAGACATTCCAAAGCACAACAGTCATCTGAGGCAGCAGTACCACTCCTAGTGGGACACCCATGTGAAATCAAAACTTATGTTCACACAACAGAGAGAGCGAATGTTTACTACGGCTTTCTCAAAATCTAAATGTTCTTCAATGGGTGAATGGATAAACAAATGTGATCTGTCCACACAATGGAATACTATTCAGCCACAAAAAGGAACGAGCTACGGCTACAGGAAACAATGCAGACAAATCTCAAATGCATTACGTTAGTGAAAGAAGCCAGACTCAAAAGCCTGGGTGATTACCTTTTATATGACCTTCTGGAAAAGGCAAAAGTGTTGGGACACAAAGAAGATCAGTGGTTACCAGAGGCCGAGATCGGCTATAAATGGAGTAGAGGGGAATTTTTGGGATGATAGAAAGGTTCTATACCTTGATCGTGGCGGTGGTTATGTGACTGTATATGTCCAGAACTATACACTAAAATGGGTGAATGTCGTGTGTCAAATAAATATATATATATCCAAATATATATATGTCAAAAAAAAAATATAACCAAACCAACCAAAAAACAGCAATAACAACAACAACAAAAATCCCAGACAAGACAGGACAGAACTTTGGAAATGACTCTCTGGGCTCCTGACACAGCAGAAAGTTGCTAACCAGCCCTGGCTTGTCTAGTCTTGGCTTCACCTCCCTAACACACCTCTGCACCAGCTCGATCACACACCCCAAAACAAGCCAGACCAGGTTCTGGAAAAAATCACGGTCCCACCTTACCTGTCCAGGGGAAATACAAAAGGAGCTTGTGAGACTGACACTACCAAACACATCAGATCTTCCATGTCCAAGTGACCCGGGCTTCCCCCAAACCCAAGGTCCTAGGAAGCATGGACCATCCTTCAAAGCTGCCACTACTCAAGACTTCTCCTGTGGTTTTCCCTTTGGAAAATGCTTGAATAAACAAGCTAGTTACAATTGGCTAAGCAGACACCAAACAGATCTACCAGCCACCATTGTGAATCAGCCACTGTGCTGGGAATGTAAGGACGCAAGCAGGATCTAACTGTCCCTACAGACAGGCACCGTGAGGGGGCCACAGTACAGTGTTGTCAGTGATTTGAACAAAGTGGCCAGTCTTCATTTAGAGGGTGGATTTGATTTCTGCTGACAGCCTGGTTACTGGGAGCCAGATGGGGCAAACAAGGGGTTCCTCGAGCCTGCAACACCCATCAGAAACAAAGAGGAATTCTATGCTGAAGGCTGGATCCTCCCTTCTTTTCATTCATTCATTTTTTTTTTTTTTTGAGTTGTGGTCTCTGTCACCCAGACTGGAGTGCAGTAGCACACTTATGGCTCACCGTAGCCTTGACTCCCTGTAGTTGGTTGATCCTTCCATCTCAGCCTCCTGAGTAGCTGAGATTAGAGATGCATGCCACCACACTCGGCTGATTTTTTGATTTTTTTTTTGTAGAAACAAGGTCTCTGTTTGTTGCCCAGGCTGATCTTGAACTCCTGGGCTCAAGTGATCCTCCTGCTTTGGCCTCCCAAAGTGCTGGGATTCCAGGAGTGAGCCATTGCACCCAACCTGGATCCTGGCTTTCTTTCTTGCTTTTTTTTGAGTCAGAGTCTCACTGTGTCTCGCCCAGGCTGGAGTGCAATGGCCACTGCAGCTTCGACCTACTGGGCTCAGGTTATCCTTCTGTCTCAGCCTTCCAAGGAGCTGGAACTACAGGCACATGCTACCACACCCGGCTAATTTTTTTTTTAATTGTAGAGATGAGGTCTTGCCAAGCTGTCCAGACTGGTTTCGAACCCCTGGGCTCAGGCAATCCTCTCGCCTTGGCCTCCCAAAGTGCTGGGATTACAGGTTTGAGCTACTGTGCCCAGTCTAGATCCTGGCTTTCTATGAGCTTCTTGTGGATGAGGAAGGGGTAGAAATTATTTGTATGCCCTGGTAGGCACATAGCATAATAGGTGCACAGCAATGATTTGGTGCCTGTTGAGTGAATGTGGGGCTCATAAAAGCAATCTCAAAAGGGAATTTCCAGAATGTTCTGAGTTTGTGGGAATATATGTGGAATCGCTTCAAAATGACATCTCCTTAGACGCCTTAACATCCCTACCTAGCTGCAACCCAGAGACACAGGGGTCTTGCTATGTTGCCCAGGCTGGTCTTGAACTCCTAAGCTCAAGCATTCCTCTCACCTTGGCTTCCCACAGTTTTGGGATTACAGGTGTGAGCCACATGATCAGCAAGATCGTTACTTTTGAAAGCACAGTTATGGCTGGGCTCCGTGGCTCAGCCTGTAATGCCAGCACTTTGGGAGGCCGAGGTGAGTGCATTGCCTGAGCCCACGGGTTTGAGACCAGCCTGGGCAACTTGGTGAGACCTCGTCTCTACAATAAATAAAAAATCAGTCAGGTGTGGTAGTGTGCACCTGTAGTTCCAGCTACTTGGAAGGCTGAGGCAAAAGGATCGCATGAGCCCAGCAGGTAGACACTGGGGTGGTGGTGAGTGTGCCACTGCTCTCCAACCTGGGCAACGGAGCAAGACTCCAACTCAAAAAAAAAAAAAAAAAAAGCACAGTTATAAAACACCTTTATTTTTTCACCTGTTTTTTTCCCCAGATAGCCTCAGTGAAAAAGATAATGAGTTTCTTAAGACCATAGTCTTGGTTTCCTTTACTCAGAGATAGGGATCCCCAAAGGCTATAGCTTCAGAAGTTTCTAGAGCTGAATCTAGATGACTAAGTTCCAAGCACTGACTCACCCTTGCCTCCACCTGCTCCCCTGTGAATCAGTGATCTACCTTTAAGGACTTCTCATCGTGTTTCTGATGCCAGGTACTGAATTCTGGAGGACTCAACAGTTGATAAGGGCTCAGGGGTGGGATCTGGAAATAGGAGAAACGAGAGGAAGGCGACAAAGTGCGCCAGGTGCTGTCTGCTCCTTACCCTGTCCCAAGTCCTGAGTGTTTGCATGCGTGAGTCTGTGCATGTGTATGCGTGCGTGCATGCACGCACGTGTGTGTTGGCACCCAATCTCCTCAGCTGGCTCATGACTGAATGATCAAGGGGTCCATGATCCCAGAAAGCACTCCATGACTCCAGAGAAACACTGACCAATAGAAATAGTGTGGGAGGCACAACTGCCAGCTGCAAATGCAAGCCTTGTCTGTGATTTTAAATGTTTTACTAAGCACATTAAAAAAGTAAAAAGAAACAGGGAACTTAATTTTAATAATATATTTTAATCTAACATCCAAAATATCATCATTTCAAAGTGTAATCGACATAAAAAGTTATGAATGAGATTTTTTTTTTAGTGGGAGTCACATTTTGTCATGTAGGCTGCAGTGCAGTGGCTCACTGCAGCCTTGACCTCCTTGGCTCAGGCAGTCCTCTTCTCTCAGCCTCCCTCGTAGGTGGGACTACAGGCGTGCATCCCCACACCTGGCTATCTCTTTTGAATTTTTTGTAGAGACAAGGTCTTGCTATGTTGCCTAGGCTGGTCTTGAGCTCTTAGGCTCAAGTTATCTTCCCATCTCGGCCTCCCAAAGTGCTGGGATGACAGGTATGAGCCACCGCGCCTGGCCTGAGGTATTTTTTACATTCACTGTTTTGTACTAAGACTTTGAAGTCGGTGTGGTTGACACAGTACATCTCAATTTGAACCAGACACATTTCAAGGGCTCAAAGACCATACTGGACAATAGCAGAGACCAACGGCAAACAGAGAAAAAAGTAGGGCCCCTGTCTGCAGGGCCAAGCAAAGTGGGGCGGGGGGGTACCATTCAAAAGGGCAGTGAAGACACCCATGAAATGGGGCTGGAGCTCAAGTTGCAAGTTGGAGGGGTCCCAGGGAGCTTTTCGCCATCCCTTTGCCTCTTTCCTTCCCTCCCGCTCACGACGATGGAGTCTCCTCGCTGAAGCGACTTTGCCATCCAGGCGCCCCAGGCCGTAGCCCTCACCTGCTGCTCTCCGGGTATCCCGGGGACCGCCCACTTGGGAATTCACCAAGTCGCGCCGCCTGCCATGCTGACACTGCCCGGCCTGCCACTCAACTTGCTGCTCCCGCCTCCCGCTTCGCTGTGCTAGTCGCTTACCTGGTTTCCACAGCGACGCCACCAGGGGGCGGGATTGCGGGGGTGAGGGGGGAGGGAAGAGCCTCGCCGAGGACCCTTTTTGATTGGTGGATGGTCAAACCCCTTCTTGTAGCCACGCCTTCCAGAGCCCCGCCCTTCTTAGGTCTCGCAAGTTGATTGGTCAGTCCCGTGGCGCGAGCGGCTAGTCCTCGGTGAGACCCGTCCCGCGGGGCGGGGGCGGTGTGCGTCCCGGGCGCTGATTGGCTGGCGGGACGCACGCGGCAGGGGGGGCGGGGCCGACTCGGAGCCGTGGTTAGTCCAGCGCTGGGTGGCGAGCGCCGGAGAGGCCTGTCCTGTGTAGCGCGCAGGTAGGCAGCAGCTGCAGCAGGAGCAGTAGCCGCCGTGTGAGGGAGCCATGAAGCACTATGAGGTAAGCAGCGAGAAAAGAGGACTAGGTAGTCACTGCAGACTCATTGTTTTTCCTTCTTCTCGGGACCATGGGACCCCACTTTCTGGTCCTGTTCCTTGTAAGGCGAGCCGGACGACGCAGGCGCAGTCGGCGCGCGTTGCGCCCCGGACCACTCGTAAGTTCTAGTGCGCATGTGCGGGGAAGGTATTTATAAATCTGCAACCCAGGCTCTTTTGGGGGTGCTTTTTCTTGGGGGTCTCTGCTGGGCCTGGGAATCTTGCAGGTGCCTTGCAGCTCCTCCAGTGGGCAGAGTTGCAGACTTTGTCGTGGGAGCCGCGAGGGTGCGGGATCCTTGCTCCCCGTCCTAGGGAGGCTTGCACAAACCTTGCACCATTCCGCCGTTTCTAACGTAGGAAGGAGTTTTGCAATCAGCCTTCTTTTGTACGACCTTTGGACCCCTTCCCTCGCCCAGGACGTCCCGAGAAGCTTAGGCGGTGAGGGAAGTGCAAGCAGCAAAGCTGATCTTGCTTTCTGGTTATCTAAGAGGTCATCTCCGTCAACCCCTGCGTGTCACCAAGGAGAAATCTTATACCTCTCAAACCACTCTTGAAGGCCAAGTCTTCTGACTCCTATCTTGGGTCTCTTTTTTTCCCTTAAAACGAGGTCTTCTGATGCGCGTATCACCCTAGCTGATAATATAATATTAATAGTTTAATTATCACTTAATTGTTGCTGACTATTAAATAATTCTCATTAAGTAATAAAGTAACTTATTACAATTCAAAGTAAGAATAATTGGACAAATGCTTACTCTTGTGCTAGTGAGAGTTTGTTACCTTGTTCTCTTATCCTCAGCCCTATGAGGTAGGAGACTATTATTACTCCCGTTTTTGTGGATTAGTAAAATCTCAGAGATATCAAGTGACTTATTCAAAGGCCCCTAGTTAGCAAGTGCAGAGCAATGAGAGAAACTCAGGATTCAAAAGTCTTAGTTCCTAGGCAGAATGCCATGTTGGTCCTCAAATGAAAACTAGCAGGTGAAGAGATTTCTTGTTTCCCCTCTCCTCACATTTTAATAATTGTGTTAAAATACATGTACAGCTTACCATCTTAGCCATTTTAAAATGTACATTTCAGTGGCATTAAGTACTTTCATATTGCTGTGCAACTGTCACCTCCATCTATCTCCAGATCTCTTTTTATCTTGCAAAACTGAAACTCTGTACTCATTAATCACTAACTCCTCATTCCTGCCTACCATCCGTCTACTTTCTGCCTCAATAAATTTGATGACTTCTAGGTAGCCAAGTAGCATAAGCATAAATAGAAAGAAAGATTTTTCTGCCCATCCTCTTTGTTATGAGTATTTTTAGAAATCTGCCCAGAGTCCTCTGAAGCCAGAAGCGCCCTTTGTGTGTAACATGGTATCAAGAATGAGGAGGTGGGATTCATTCATCTCTAATGCATCATTCAGCTTTATCCTTCTAGAATGAAGTTCTAAGATGATTTTTCCTCACAAACTCTGTTTAACCCTGGAGAACAGCCATGTTCAGTTTGAAACATGCAACATGAAAGATCTATCTGTATGGCATTTTGCAAAATGTGGTAATCAGAAAAAGTAGGACTGTGAGGACCTGGGGGTGAGCACTTTTGTTCCAGGAAGCTGGGCAGAGCTCACGGCTTGGGCTGGAGAACTTAAACCTTTTCCCTCCCAAAAGGAAGGGGAGCTTCAAACTCACTATTCAAAGTAACCTTAGAGAAAAAAAATAAATTGTTATTTTTCTGTGTTCTTTGTTATAATCTCTACTAACATTTGCCAAGTACCCACTGGGGTGAGCTACAGGGTATCTGGATGGGAGAGCAGTTGTGTCGCAGCCCAGTTTGCATAGCAGGCAGATTAGTTTTGCTCCAAATGCTTATTGCATGTTAATAAAAATAGAAGAGATGCTTTCACTCAGATTTAACAAGCAGTTTGAGAAATGGTTTCAGTTATTTACATCAAATAACATATTTACATCAAATAACATATTTACATCAAATAACATACATCAAATAAGCCTGTCCTCCTACCCTCAAGCAACCTTCAGGCCACTGAGCGGTTAGTCTCCCTCAAAAGATATTCTTGGCCCTTGGAGAGATGTTGGAGTTTATGAAGGGCAATTTACACGTGATAGAAGTAATGCGGGGGTCAGGCACAGTAGCTCATACCTGTAATCTCTGTACTTTGGGAGGCTGAGGTGGGAGGATTGTTTGAGCCCTGGGGCTTGAGATCAGTGTGGGCAACCTAGCAAGACCTTGTTGCTACAAAAAAATAAAAAAAAATTAACTGGGTGTGGTGGCACCTGAAATCCCAGCTATTTGGGAGGGTGAGGTGGAAGGATTGCCTGAGCCCAGGAGGTCGATGCTATGGTGGGCCATGATCATGCCACTGCACTGCAGCCTGGGGACAAAGCAAGACCTCATCTAAAAAAAAAAGAAAAAGGAAATATGGGATAGAAGCGATAAAAGAAAGGTTCAGGACTTGCTTACTGTCACAGAGCGAGTTTATGTCTGGTTGAGGACTAATGTCTTGACAGGATTCTAGCAGGAGGGACAGTTTGGTGTTGTTTCAATGATAGTTTCACATCATTGCCAAATTCATCCGATCTGAGAGAAAAAATTATCCCTTCTGTGGCCTAGTTGAGGGGAAGCATCTAGAACAGGTCACCTCTAGGCCTTGGCTGAAGCCCGCTCCTTGGAATGCCAGGGCAGGCCTTGGGATTTTCTTGGGGTCAGAGCTAGGTCGATAAGCAAAGAACAGCTTCTGTTTATCCTAGGCGACAGGAGGTTTTTTGTTTTTTTTTTAAGTTGCTGTTTTAGCCACTGCAGATGCGACTCAAAGTTAATGAGCCAAGTGGCAACTGGAAAAACAGCGACTGCATCTTGTAAATGAGCCTGTTAATTCCTGGGAAAATCAATCCCTCTTCAGCCTCCAGGAGCCTGGGTCACTGCCTGTTTCTCACAGCTGAGTACCCAGAGGCGTGGAAGCCTCATTCTCTTGGGGTTCACCACCAACCTTCATTTAGGACCTTCCCCCTAAAAGAGTAGCTGATTTGGGGCCTATCTTGCAAATCATCCTAGACCAACATAGTACCTTGCATCAGCTTCCTCCATAGGAATAAATATGAAAGTTCTGGAAGTAGATTTCTGGTCAAGAGGCAGTTGTTTGGAGACAAAATGGGTAATAGTTCAGGCTCTTGCTTGTAATCCTAGCACTTTGGGGAGGCTGAGATCGGAGGATCGCTTGAGAACAGGAATTCGAGACCAGCCTGGGCAACATAGTGAGCCTTTAAAAAAAAACCAAACGGTTAAGTAAGTGAAAACTCAGGAGAAAGTAGACTCATGTGTACTGGTGTCCTAAGTGTGTGGACTTTGGACAGGCCTGGTGCTGAATCCTGACATTAAGTGAGGGTGGGTGGGGACCCTGAGAGAACGACACTGGTACTACCACTTAGTAAATTGTTATGTGCTCAGGGCAGGTTAGTTAACCTCTCTGAACCTTTCTGTATCATCTCCTTGGAGCAGAAACCCATTGGTTATGAAAGCAACGGCTAGTATTAAAGAACCTTACAAGGTAGCTGGAAGTACATCATCCAAGGTTATGTATCAAAGGGAGGTGTGACGTTTAGTTCTGGTTCATTCATTTTTTTTTTTTTTGAGTTGGAATCTCACTCTGTCACCCATGCTGGAGTGCAGTGGCATGCTCACGGCAACTGCAGCCTCTACTTGGTGGGTTCAGGTGATCCTTTCACTTCAGCCTTCCAAGTAGCTGGAACTACAGGCATGTGCCACCATGCCTGGCTAATTATTTTTATTTATTGTAGAGATGAGGTCTTGCCATGTTGCCCAGACTGGTATCGAACCTGTGAGCTCAGGCAATCCTTTTTGCTCCACCTCTCAAAATGCTGGGATGACAGGTATGAACCACCGTGCCCAGCCTGCAAGAGTTTTTATAATTTTTTTTTTTTTTTGAGTGGGAGTTTCACTCTGTTGCCCAAGGTGTAGTGCACTGGCACGCTCACGGCCACCACTGCCTCAACCTGCTGGGCTCAGGCAATCCTTCCGCCTCAGCCTTCCAAGTAGCTGGAAACACAGGCACATGCCACCATGTCCAGCTACTTTTTTTGGTAGAGATGAGGTCTTGCCAAGTTGCCCAGGCTGGTCTTGAACCCCTGGGCTCAGGCAGTCCTCTTGCCTCTGCCTCCCAAAGTGCTGGGATTGCAGGCATGAGCCACTGCACCTGGCTGCTGCTTTTACACGTTTTATAAACATTTCATGCTGGGCACAGTGGCTCAAACCTGTAACCTCAGCACTTTGGGAGGCAGAGGTGGGAGGATTGCTTGATCCCAGGAGTTCGAGAACAGCCTAGGCAATATAGCGAGACTTCATCATTAAAACAAACAAAAACATTTCAAACCATATTTCTTGTTTTTTTTTTTTTTTTTTTTTGAGTTGGAGTCTCACTCTGTCACCCAGACTGGAGTGCAGTGGCCGCTCCTGGCCCTGCAGCCTCAACCTGCTGGGCTCCGGCGATCCTTCCACCTCAGCCTTCCAAGTAGCCGGAACTACAGGTGCACGCTACCATGCCCAGCTAATTTTTTTGATTTATTGTAGAGATGAGGTCTCGCCAAGTTGCCCAGGCGGGTCTTGAACCCATGGGCTCAGGCAATCCTCTCATCTCAGCCTCCCAAAATGCTGGGATTACAGGCTGAGCCACTGAGCCTGGCTTCAAACCACATTTCTATGTATTGTTTATGGATATGGATACATACGTAATAAGGTAAATTGTAATAAGAGGTCAGAAACATAGTAGGAGTTATACTGTCATTAGAGGAGCTATTGGTGGGGGAAATGGGGAGCGGGGGGGAGGATTTAGCCATGTCTGTTGCTTTTTTTTTGCTTTTAAAAAAGGAATCTGAAGTAAACAAAGTAAAATGTAATTTTATGTTCAACCTGGGAGGTGGGGCTGGGCCTAGTAACTC